TAATACAACCAATTGTTAGCCGAGCCGACAGCTAAGCTGAAGTGTCTTCGGCCACAAGAATGTCTGCGTATTGGGATTCACAACAAAAGCTTTCGGTGCAAGCATAAAACATAATTTTGCAGTTGCGTCATTCTCACGTCATGGCTTTGTCAGGATGACGTCACGAGTGGCGTCGTTCTCCCTTGTCTTCTAGAAAAAGCTTTGGCTTTACACTCCACAATCTAATCCTCAATCATATCAACTTATCTCATCCAATTTTTTCTTTCCTCTTTTTCTATTAAGACAAAACTATTTTCATGATATCGATCCAATGAGTAACCTGAGTAATAAATTATTAATGAGCCTAGCCTTGCTACATGAATGTAGTCCCTGCTGAACAAGAATGATCAATTATTAATTCATGGTCATGTACACATTCAACTTTCGAAATGACAAAATTATATTATGTTATAATGTGTCGATATAGAAATCCAAATGATACGTTTCTAAGTAACGACCTTTCTTGTTACCATTAATTTTTACTAAAATTTTATCAAAAGATTGACTTTTAGCAAAACTAAATAGGAATATATAATGTTCTTAGACCATATGGGTAGACATAATGTGAGTCTTGTCTTTCTTGAAACGAGCTCAACGTGGATTGCAGAAAGTATGTCTTCTTCAAGCAAATTCATTGATGTCAACTGCGCTCGCTTCACGTCCTATTATTTGAGCCTTACTAAAGCCCTTCGATTCATAACGCGCGAGGACACACAAAAAACATGCTTGTGCGACAAAAATATTGTATTTCATGGATCCTGTTTGAAAACAGTTATTTAAGTAAAATAGAGTTTTGAATAGTGATTTTTTTGAAAATGTATAATTAAAAAGTAAGAAAAAAATTTAAATTTACGCACAAAATATTTTATTGAAATTTTGCTATATGTACACTAGGATTAACACCCCAATGTACAGCCTCCCTCACAATAGGGGAATCCACGAATTTTTTATTGGATGTAGGCACCCCTCTTTTATTAGGTGGTGTATACAGAGATGTCAATTCCAGTATACAAATAGTAAAACTCATTTTATTGTATGAATATGCTATTAAAATGAATATATAGAACAAAGAATTTTGAAATAATGATTATCAAACAGGGATCTCAATATAGAAAAAAAAATGTTATTTATACAACCGAGGGTAAAAGTGAGAGCTAGAACAGCAATATAGGACCAAGTTCTTTAGGGAAAGATTCTTGAGGACCCACACGGCATTATTGGATAATTCTTTTTCATTATTCCTTGTTTGAGCCCATTTTAGAAAAATTCAAATAGTGATTTTTGGACATAAAAAATTAAAAATTAGAAAAAAAAATTCGATTTACGTGTAAAGTTATAGAAAAATATATGATTAAAAAATAGGACTGAAACAAGGAATATAATTTCTTAACAAATTGGCCTTATTTTCCAAAACATAACGGTAACAGAGTATGTCCCCTATTAACCACAATACATTACACGTCAACTTTACATAAACCATGGTTTATTTTTAGTACACAAATTGATCATGCGTGTTCCTAGGAAAGCCGTCTCCCTATCCCCACTTCCGTACCACCCCGCTTCTCCTATATACTCACCCCGCTCATTCTCAACTTCTCCACTCCTCTGCATTTTTCGATCCACTATACCTCGAAGAGTCTAAAACGCTTTTCTTGTTCAGATTTTTGTATTATAAAATCATATTTTAATTCTGGGTTTTTCAATTTGTCGGTGAAAAGTGGGGTTTATTGTGTTTTTACAGGGTTTTTAATGGCTTCTTCTGAGAATTATGTAACTGTTGAACAACCGTGGATGTTCCGGCGATCATATACCGATTCTCTGCCTTCCGACTTCTACACAAAGGAGAAAGAAACGCTAACCAAAGCTTTGCAAATGTCATATACAGGTGGCGCCACCGCAGCCGACACGGCGGCTTCTCTTTTGGTGAAGTCTGAAATGATGCCGTTTCAAACACCCACCGTCTCCGACAGGTCGGAATGTGAAGCACCGGTTTCCAAACCACGGACGGTCGGGTTGACACGGAAGATAACAAAACGGAAGTCGCGTGCGACTAAAGGTGCAACGACGACGTTTATATCTGCTGATCCCGCGAATTTCAGACAAATGGTACAGCAGATGACAGGAGTTCGATTTGGGGACTTGAACGGACAGCTACCCGTTTCTCAAGTGCTTAAGCCTGAGCCTCAAAGGCCAGTCAACCGGTTGCAGCCGAGTGGAGGCTTGTCAACTCTTGACACGTCATCTTTTCTGCTCAGCCAAACCCACCACCACCAAGTCGACCCAGCTTCATATTTGGTGGCTCAGCCACCGGCCACGGTGGTTACTGATGTTGGCTCCGGTGGACTTGACTTCAACTCTCATTGCAACTTTCCAACCCTCGAGTCTTGGAAAGATATGTAACGTGGTGCAAATGAGCTTTAACTTTTACCGTCGAGCGACGTCTCTGACAGTCCGATCACTAAAATCGATTTAATTTCAATTTTTATTTTTTTAAGTACTTCTTAATTTTTGATTGAAAAGGAATCTTGGAGAGGGGTAAAATGGGAAAAGCTGATGATATTTTGTGATATGGCTTGTATCTATCTATTGTATGATATATGGTATATAATTGTGACATAAGTTATTGTAGTTTAATGTATCACTTTCAATCATTTCTCTATTAATATTAATCACATCATAGGTCATGTGAATTGATGGGATTTTTTATTTATGGTTAATCACAATATTGTGTGGACACTCCTTCTATTGCATTAATATTTGGGTTAATTTCACAAATGGTCACTGAAATTATATGAAAATCACAAAATGGTTACTGAAGTTCGAGACTTGCAGAAATGGTCACTCAACTTTCAAAAGGTTTCATAAATGGTCACTGAAGTTAGTTTTAGGACTGTTTTGTTTTAATTCAAACCTAAAGAACCAGAACACGTGTACATAGAATTGGAGGGCCTCAATTGCAAAATTCAATTTTTTTTTGTCTAGAACAGGTTCATCTTCTCCATTATCACGGTGTGGAACCGACGACTTCAAGGCTAAATTCGACCTCCATGCCGCCGATTAAACCACCGAATTTTTGCATCATCTGTTCACCTCATCATTCCGACCAACAATCCTATACCAACATCCAGTCCCAAGCGACCAAAAATCAATTGAATCTCAGTTTCAAAAATCAGTCCATGCGTACGGTTCTACCTCCAATTCCGGCCAACCCATCATCAACCATGCCAAAACTCCATCACAGGCAGGTAATACTCCCCAAGACGAACAGTGACATGGTCTCATACCGTCACGAAACAATTTAAATCAGAATTCAAACCAAACCATTTTGACGACAGTGAACAGGGGACATTCTTCCCCATTTCTGGTGCCAACGTCAACAATTACGGTTGCGCACCACCACTACTACCTTCTACTCTTCATGGAGAACAAGATGCACATATGGGTTCTCATCAATTTCCCTTAAATCGACCGGAATTGGAAGCAAATTGTTCTAGAAAATCAAGATGAACTGATTCAAAGTCCACTTAATGGGAAAGAATTTCCACTTCAACAAGGATTTGGCTATCAAAATCACTGAAGAAAATGCATTGTTTGGGCCTTGTTTGCCGCCCAATTGAGTTGAAGAAAAAAAATTCAAGAACATAGACTTTGGAAGAAGAACCTGTTCTGGACAAAAAAAAAAATTGAATTTTGCAATTGAGGCACTCCAATTCTATGTCCACGTGTTCTGGTTCTTCAGGTTTGAATTAAAACAAAACAGTCCTAAAACTAACTTTAGTGACCATTTATGGAACCGCCTGAAAGTTGAGTGACCATTTATACAAGTTTTGAACTCCAGTGATCATTTTGTGATTTTCATGTAACTTCAATGACCATTTGTGAAATTAACCCATTAATATTTATGAAAATTGTGGACGAAAAATTTATTTGCCTTTAAATGTCCTATATTAATGTACACGTAAAGGGAGATGTAAAAGATGATGTACGTGTAACATGATTGTTTTAACCGATATTTTAAAAAGCGTAAAGCGTGACTAAACGTAGAAGAAAAACTTTTAAGCTTTACAAGCTGAAGCTGGTTTAAGTGAGGTTTAGGCGTAAAAAGATTTTTTCTTATTTTTAATATTATTTAAAAAATTTAATCATTTTAAAAATTATTTAATAATTAAAATAATACATATCATATATTTACTTAATAATTCCTACCACTAGTCAATTATACAATTTTCAAGTTTTTGAAATGTAAGAATTATAATTATTTCATAATTTCAATTTTCAACTAAACAAAACATACTTAGTAGATTTATAGGAATTTCATATATGCTTTTAGAGTTTGCAACAAAATCAAGTCTCAAAATCATAATTACATAATGTAGATAGTATCATAATTTAAATCTTATTTAACTATTTAGATAAAATCATTTTTAATTTTTGTACATATCAAATCTGTTAAAATTTTGAAATTAAAGACAAATAAAAGGTTTTTCTTAAATAAAAAACTAATAAGCTAAAGTTAAATGAAAGATTTTTAAAAGAAATGAAAAAAATAAAAAAAACTAATAAAACGCGCCTGGAGAAGACGAAAGAGAGGGAAGAAAAAGTTCGGCCGTTCAGGAATTAGAAAAAACAAAAGGTCTATACACGAAGCTTGGCGTTTTGCTAGAGCATAGAGCCTAGGCACCGTCTTAGTGAACTTTTAGAACATTGATTTTAACTAAATTAATTACATTTTCTTAATTTACGTAAAAATATAAACATGTTTATATTATGGGATGAAGGTAGTATCTAACATTGGTGGTGTTGAACGTCAATCTAAGTGTCAACATGTGTCGTATTAAATAAATTATAATTCATTGTATTTAATTGAATCTGTAAACATTAGTGGTATTGAATAGTGTTAATGTTCTAACAATAGCTCGTACCTTCGATATATTGTCTGCTAATACTATCACGATTTGTGTTCTTCCCTTTACGAGTCTTTTATAAAGTACGGTGTTCATCTGCCGTGATCGAACATTCTCGTGCCAATCCATTCTTCTAACATGGACTTGAGCAATGTGACTCAAATATATAACCAGTCAAGAACTTTAACCCCTACATAGTGACATAGAGCTTGCTTGAGCCCCATTTTTTTTCCTTTTTTTTTTATAAAAAATGCATTTGAAAAATAATGATTTGATGGAAAATGTGTGATTAAAACATAAGGAAATTTTTTATTTGCATGTAATATTATTTTATTGAAAAATGCATGCGTTGTCGAAAATAAAAGAGACAAAAATGTATTTTGAAAATAATGAGTACCAAACAAGGGTATAGATTTATTGATTTCTTTCTTTTCTCCCATGAAAACTTATAATTTATTTTCTTGTAGTCTTTATCAGGCTGATCATTGTGGAGCTACATCTCCATAGTCATTTTCGAGTTTGAACTTTGAAATTTCAAGTTCTTTTTTCAATTAAATATTTCAATTTGATTTAGGAAAATATAAACTGCTGGGTTGCTTTTATAGTTGTCGAAAGGATTATACAGAAAAATAATGAACGAAGCTGCAGTGCCAGGGAGGGTGTGACACCCTCCCTGTTTTTTTCATTTTTTATTTCACACAGGTCCCATGTCGGTCCCACACTTATGTGAGAGTAGGTCATTCAGATGGACAATTTTCTTCTGACACAATAGCTTTATTCAAAAATAATGTTACTCTGACATTTTAGATTCTATCAGATTGTCTTCTTTTTTTTTAAATAAATCTTAATATATTAATTCTATTCTAATGTTGCCTATCATGCTCAGATTAGACTAATAAAATACTGGGATCAGAGAAATTAAAATAATATCCTTGAATTATTCCTGTTTTCTAGAAACTGGATTATCATTAAAACATATATTTTACTCAATAAAAAGCAAATAAATTAAAATTTTATCTAATTACTATATAGTATTGTTTAATGTTACACACCAATTGAATAAATCGTCTAAATTTCTTTTTAATTGTCACATAACACTCAGTGTCCAACTTATTGAGGTTAGATTTTGTTTTTCAACTTGAGGGAGTGATTGAAAAGTGGAACTGGTATATTTTTTGAAGGTTACGTGACAAAAATGATGTTATATATAAGCAATTACATAATGATTTAAATACAGATGATATGTCAAAACGAGATTTGTGAATTATTATTATTATTATTTTTAAGAAATTCTGACTCAATCATATATTAACACGCATATGTATGTAAACCATGTATACTTTATGTCATTGGTTTTTTGTCCCTCGTCTAACATTAAAGTACCACAAGCAAGTTTCGAATCTCGATTAATCGAATATCCTATTCTAAGTAATCCTCGTGCAACTTTTAATCTACGAGTCGTAAGATCGTTGTACCAAACAAATACAAAACTCGACAAGTAGTGGTTGAACTTCTAGCAAAAACTTTGTTGGGGGTGGAGGAATCAAAGTAAAGAGTCAAATAAGGACTTCTGTACCTGATTATACCCAGTCTTGATATTTTCAATTTTGACTTGACTTTTATTTAAACGTACAACTTGGCCTTATGCAATTGCATTGCGAATTGCCCCACAATCACAAGTCCAGATCTTGGATTCTCGTGACATAGACGCGTGTCACATGATTATTGTCCAGACCAATCACATACCGTCAAACATGGAACCCCGTGATCATCTGACGGTCACTATAAAGTGTTGACTTCCACGTTGATAGAATGATGGTTTATTTTGAAATCAGCAGAGTTGAATTGACGGTCCAAGTCTATGGTAAAATACCGATTAAAAGTTTTAATTTTTTTTTATATATTAGAAGTAATTTATACGACAAGCAATTGATCAATTAATAAATTTGTCCATGTTTGGTAATTGGTACCCTATTAAAATCTAAATTTTAATCTAAGTCAAAGTCAGTAATTCATTCAATAACATATTTTATGAGTTTAACAACATTTCAACCACACATATCATCAACTTCTATCAAAATCTATTAAAAATCCGATTTTAATCATTATCAAACATGGCTTAATATTGAATGATGACAGATAATGGATTCTTGTCATTGATTAGAACATTTAGATTAAGCCCCTGTTTGTCTACCATTATTTCAAGAAATTATTTGCTACAGTAAAATTTACCCAATAAAATATTCTACACACAAACCAATAAAATTATTCTTACTTTTTAACCACACATTCTCCAAAAAATACTATACATTACTTTATTTTTCTCCCAATAATGGGAAACAGACACACCCTGAGAATCGAGGATATGGCACCAAACATAGCTTGTAGTTTCCTTTTCCAAGAACAAATTGAAGTGTGACTCGAAATGGAGACTTTTGCAATAAATGAATATCGCAACAAAACTTGAGCTAAAATTTCTTGCGAAAGTATATTAGG